ATAGCTTCAAAGATATTTTGAATAGTTTTCGTTCAGTGAAACCATATTCACATGTTTTCATCTACTGCAAACAAGAGCTAATTCAAAACTTTTGGCTAGTGACCAGCTTTTCTCTCAGGGAAAAAAACAAAACCAAACAATCAGGTTAGCTGCATTGACTGTATTTCCTGGAAACACATCTCATTTGCTGAGCTTTCAGCAGGAAGGATCTCAGACTGCAGGTGGAAATTTAGGTCAGACTCAAAAATAGCCCCAAGGCCAGGCCTTTTGTGAGAGATGTGGAGGATTTGTACAGAAAACTTGCTGCAAAAGGTTTGTGCAGGACAGATGTGTCTCTGTAACCAAAAAATGGCAGCAGAAATGACCACATTGYGTTTCCATCCGTGTGTGTTTGATAAGATGGAGTGGGACATTTCTTTGAGGATGGATTCATTCATTGCCTGATGTTCAGCAAAGCTGTGCTAAACCAGGCCACAGATCTGGATCTCTCGTGGAGCTGCAGTACAATCCTGAAGCTGAGCCTCCTGTATTGTGGGGAACACCCTGGGACTTGTCCAGTTGTCTCTTTCTGATTGTTTTCTTTACCTGTATCCTCATGCAGAACAAAAGAAGGTTTTGTGGAAGCATTTTAGATTCGTATCTTCTAGATACTTCTGCCAGAATAACCAAAGGTTTCAGGAAATGTGAATTTTCAGTCATCTAAACAAACTGCTGTTGATCTCTGTTCAATTCTAAATGAAGATGCTAAATTGTAATTCTAAAACAAAGCTGTTCATGGAAAACATTGGGTTAATACTCAAAGATATCAGTTCTGAAATGCACACCTAGCTTTAATGTTTAGGTCTGGGCAACACATGGTATTCTGACAGGAAACCTAAAAGTGGAAGAACAAAATCTCTTGACCCTTCCAAAGCACAGAATTTTATCTTAATTGTTTTTTTTTTTTTGGTTGTATCCAGGAAGGCTTTTCCCCTCCTTTTCCTGTGTCTCAGCATTGATCAGGCACTGCTGTCCAACAGGCACTTTTGCCACCTCCTCTGCCTTTATTTCCAGGCTTACCTCTCAGAATTCCTGGCCAAATGGAGGGAGCTGAGGCTGGATGTGATCCTGTGTCCTGCACTGGGGCCAGCTTTTGACCATGGCTACCCTGGGAAGCTCTTTGGTAATGACCCCTGAGGAACCTCTGCTCACACCCACGGTGCCGTTTTTGGGCAGAGCTTGGGTCTCTTGGGCATTCCCCAAACCAGGCATGGTGCTCACTCTTCCCTCTGTGGAAAAAAGCAAAGGAGAGGTCTCTGGGTGGGATTTCTCACAGCCCCACCTCATCTGKGCTGCAGATGTTGGCATTTTTCGGGGGCAGCATTTAGTGATCCATCTGTCCCAGTGGGTCAGTGGTGAGTTTTCCCTGCAGAAAGCC